CTGTCGCTTGTAGGTTGGAGGCCGCCGCTAGTAGGTTGGAGGCCTTCGGTTGGAGGCCATCGCTAGTAGGTTGGAGGCTGTCGCTATAGCAGGTTGGAGGCTGTCGCTAGTAGGTTGGAGGTAAGCCGACGTGGAAGGCACCATGGGGCACCGGACACCGAGGCAAGCCGACGTCGGAAAGATGCGGAGGCACAAGAGGTCGCACAGCTGGAGCACGCCATGGCACAGCAGGTGTGCGGTTCCAGTGGGTCACGCTGGGTCTCGGTCCCTCTCGGTCCCTCCCGGTCGGCGGTCCAGACCGGTGATTGTCGATTTGCCAAGCTGAGAAGCTGTCCTTACTATGGATGGAAACGTCAGGAGACAGAACTGAGTGCACCTGTCCTCATTCAACTTGGACACATCCTGTTTGATCCTCTTTTTAATGAGAGACATTATTCCCCAAGCCGAGGCTGCCGATGCTAAGCGGCAACAAGAACTAGCAGAAGAGCAGCGAAGGAAGAAGCAGCAGGACATGGCAGGGGCACAAGAGTTTCCTCAATGGCAATTTTAACATTTTGACCAGATCTGGAAGCTCACAGAGGCTTCTAGGAGCTTGCCACTGGTTGCTGTGAGGAGATGGCGAAGCAAATGGCCGACGCTGCAAAGGAAGCGGCGGAGCAAAAGGCCCAGCCCAAACGGCACCAACGACTGCTGTTGGCTCGGCGGTCGTCCGGTCAGGTTCTACGCAAGCAAGAGGAGGCTGAAAAGGACAGCATGAGTCGCATGAGCTGGCTGCATAAGAAATCACAAGAACGTTTTGACGTGAATTGCTGGTCATATAAGGACATTGCAATGATGAAAGCGCAGATTGCATGACACTCAGAGGATCCCAGATGTGGTTACTTCTTTTCATGGCACAGTTTGAGCAGTTCAACTTCCACCCTTGGCAGCCATGCAGCGCTCTAGGCAGCAATTTATGCCATCTCATACCTGGCCATCATTTGCATCCCAAAGACGGGCAAAAGTACCATGAAGCGCTCTTCTTCCCAGAAACTGTGCATTTGCTTGATCTTGCTTGTGCGTCGTGCGTGCCTGTTTTGGTTTAGCCATTTGAATGAACGTGTGCAGCGTGCGACACGTGTACTTTGGCCAACCTTCACTCCAGCCAGTGTTCGCATACTCCATCATCGATCCAACCATCTAGGAGTACTGGCTTCCTAGACTCTGGTTCCTGTTGAAACGCTCCAGGCCGTGATGGAAGCGCAGGAGCAGCAGCGTGGGAAACTCAGAGCGGGGAACAGACTGACCAAGCGTTGACAAGACCAGCACATATTGTCTTTTGGAAGACCTCAGGAACTGTGAAACCGTGTGAAAGTGACACAGTGAGCGCTGGATGGACTTACGGACCTGCAACTCATTTGGCCAACTTTGCAAAGGCGCTCAATCTTTTCAAAGAATGAAGGAGAAGCAGGCGCTGTGCTCTTACACTGTAAACATCAACAATGCTAGTGAAAGTGAATGTTCGGAGTGCTTGGCCAACACCGCCCTAGCCGCCCCACGGGTGCGACCGGTGCTTCGTCCAGGGGAAGGCGCAAGCGCAATACGAGGCCCGTTGTGCCAAGACTGGCTGCCTTTGGAAGAATAGGGACCACAGTAATATTGCGACCGCGAAGAAGACGCGGTGTGATTTGCTTCAAGTGCTTGTCTTGAGTCTTGGCTGCGGGAAATGCGGGAAAGGCCGAGACGAGGCCCGTCCATCCAGACCCACACCTGCGTCCCTGTCCCGGTTTCTGAGGCCAAGGCCGGCAGCGAGCAGGCGAGGCTCCAGAAGGAGGACGGCTCGACGCGTCGATCGACCGAGTGGGCCGTGTGGGTTTCCTTCAGAACTAAACTGAAACTGGTAACATCTATTAGTAACAAGGCAGAAGGTGACAAGATGATGAGATGAGAAAATGGCGAGAAGACTTGATGTCCATGTTGGTTATTGTGTTGTATGTTGTCTCGTGGCCATCTTTCGGTTTTAAGCCATGGGTTGCAACAGAGGTGTCAAGCAATATGAAAAGCATGAAAGGCCAACATTCACTGACTACCTGGAGACCATGACCTACCTTATGCTCGACTTGCAAGACATCATGAACACCTTGTTTAGTACTTGTTTCTGGCAGTCAGAGAGTGTGTGAGTGTCTTGGTTTTGTTAATTTCAGCTATGTCGGCAGTGGCGTTTGCTGCAGCGCGGGGAGTGCACCCTGTCCACGTCAAGCCCAATCAGCTGAACCCATCCTGTCGCGTGGCCTCTCCCAGTCACTTCGGTCAGGGGAAGATCTCGCATACAGTTTTCGTAGCGGCACCTTGGCGTTATTGGTGTTCACCCGTGTTCAACTGTGGTTTTGGGAAGGATTCCCAATCAAGATACACCCAGTTCTTCCTTCTTGTGAGTGGCAGCACACGTTAGTTATGTACTGTAATCTAATATATTATAACTTTATAAACAAATAAATAAATACATACTAATATATAATATAAATAAAGCACACACACAATTATATATGAATAATGCAAACATGGATGTTGCACAGACATTTGAAGAGTATATCACCAAGACTAGGATAGGATTAGGATCACTCTGAGCATTGCTGCCTTTTGAGTTCCAAATGAGGCAACCTTCGTGCTCACGCGCACCAGAGGTGGACTTGCCCGTCGGGCCCAGCCCGAGCCCAAGGCTCCTCCCAAGACCAAGAAGGGCAAGTCGAAGCGGAAACCGGAGTTCGACGCCAGCAAGGAGAGCAGTAATGAGCGAGAGACATTTGGGATAAGATTCTGAAAACGACTGAACACGGATGCTTAGTATATTTGGCTTGGCACTTGACTGGTATGGGGATGTAGGTTTTGGGGTCAGGTTCTTGCCACAAGTGTAGAGGGAGATTGAAAGAAAATTCTTGGACAAGTGTCCCTGCCCAAAGAAGCTTCACCATTGGCATCAAAGTTTTTGTGGATAGGACCGGGTGAAGGGCAACAGCCAGCAAGCTACAACAGGTGTAGCAATCCCTTCGTTTCTGGTCGCAACATGCAAACTACAGAGTTTGTTAGTTTGTTTTCATGAAACACACAGCACAGTTTGTCAAACTCCCGTTTTACAATCCTTCACATTTGGCCTGCCTTCGTATCTGTGCCGAACTTGCCATTCTGAAGCACGAACGCAGCATGCTTTCACAGTGCCATGCAACATGCACCAAACTCGGTTTGGTTACATACGCTCACTATCGACATGAGCACTGGGGAGCTTCAACCACTGTAGAATGTCCCACTGGATACGGGGCATACACGTGACTTGTTGAAGGCTGGACACAAACTTGCTGTAGTGGAGGCTGGATACAAACCTGAGCTGGTTCAGGGTGCACACAGTGACTGATGCACAGGTTGGCGATGTGCACAGATGGTGGTGGTGGTGGCCGGAAGTGGAACGTTCCTGGAAAATTTAAATTCCCCAATAGCCATGCTGTGGGGTCTTGCAAAACTAATAGGCGGACGGGCGCCGTCGGGTCACCGTCAGAGCTGGTGGGCGGATGGTGTCCCGGTCATGTTTTGATGGCGTCCGGGTCATGTGATGCTGGTGTCCCGGTCATGTTTTGATGGTGTCCCGATCATATTTTGATTGTGACCCAGTCATGTTGTGATGGTGTCCTGGTCATGTTTTGAAGGTGTCCCGGTCATGTTGTGATGGTGTCCCGGTCATGTTGTGATGGTGTCCCGGTCATGTTTTGATGGTGTCCCGGTCATGTGATGGTGTCCCGGTCATGTTGTGATGGTGTCCCGGTCATGTTTTGATGGTGTCCCGGTCGTGTTGTGATGGTGTCCTGGTCATGTTTTGAAGGTGTCCCGGTCATGTTGTGATGGTGTCCCGGTCATGTTGTGATGGTGTCCCGGGCATGTTTTGATGGTGTCCCCCGGTCGTGTTTTGATGGTGTCCCGGTCATGTTGTGATGGTGTCCCGGTCGTGTTTTGATGGTGTCCCGGTCATGTTTTGATGGTGTCCCGGTCATGTGATGGTGTCCCGGTCATGTTGTGATGGTGTCCCGGTCCTGTTTTGATGGTGTCCCGGTCATGTTTTGATGGTGTCCCGGTCATGTTGTGATGGTGTCCCGGTCATGTTTTGATGGTGTCCCGGTCGTGTTGTGACGGTGTCCCGGTCATGTTTTGATGGTGTCCCGATCATGTGATGGTGGTGTCCCGGTCATGTTGTGATGGTGTCCCTGTCATGTTTTGATGGTGTCCCGGTCGTGTTGTGACGGTGTCCCGGTCATGTTTTGATGGTGTCCGGTCCTGTTGTGATGGTGTCCTGGTCATGTTTTGGCGGTGTGCCGGTTATGTTTTGATGGTGTCCGGGTCATGTGACGGTGTCCCGGTCATGTTGTGATAGTGTCCCGGTCATGTTGTGATGGTGTCCCCGTCATGTCATGCTGGTGTCCCGGTCACCTTGTGATGGTGTCCCGGTTATGTTGTGATGGTGTCCCAATCATGTTGTGACGGTGTCTCGGTCATGTTTTGATGGTGCCCTGGTCATTTTGTGATGGTGTCCTGGTTATGTGATGATGGTGTCCAAGGAAGAGATGGTCGATGTGTTGAAAACAGCAGCTGTTTCGAGATTTTTCTTTTTGTCCCGGTTTGTATCTTGCTATTGGGGTCTCCAGCTGGGCTAATTCTAGTTAAATTCTATTTACATCCTAATTATTTCCTAATTCTAATTTAAGTTCTAATACTAATTCTTGTAGCTTCTTGTTCGTAGTAGTACGGCCAGGAGCCCCTAGTAGCGATGCCCTTGCTCCTAGTAGTCGATGGGCTTCTTCGCCGCAGGAACTGGGTGTCACTGAGCCGATGGGCTTCTTCGATCCTCTCAGCTTTGCGCCCAAGGACCAAGAGACCTTCTTCGAGTATCGTGCCTGTGAAATCAAACACGGGCGGGTGGCGATGATGGCAGCACTGGGCGCGGTCACGCAGCACTTTGTGCGCTTGCCCGGATTTGAAAAGACCAATTGGGGAGAAGAGATGCCCTCAGGGATCAATGCAGCCTTTAATACTCCTGGCACCTTTGGCTTGGTGGTGCTCACTTTGATCGCCGGGGTCTTGGAGTTCACCTTGTGGTCGGAAGATCCCAAGAAGGAGCCCGGCAACTTCGGGGACCCTTTGGGCCTTGGCCAGTATACCGAGGAGCGGCGTGCCACCGAAGGTCTTTCGATGTTTAGAACTTCGAGTTCAAAGACTTGCACACCCAAATTCATGGGTTTGACGTGGTTTGACCATGGTTTGACCTGCAATGTTCATTGAAACACTTTCCAAAGCCTTCTTCAGGCAATCTATCAGAATGACAAAGAGACAAACACTATGAAACAATCACACTGTGTTGTCATTTTTCTTCTTTTTTTGTCTTTTGCATCCACTCCTTTTGTTTTTTGTTGCCTGACCCAGGACATGCGTAACCGGGAGCTGAACAACGGGCGCTTCGCCATGGTGGCCATCACGGGCATCGTGGTTGCAGAGCTGGTGACGGGGAAGGATGCCGTGCAGCAGCTGGGCCTCTGAGGAGACCGACCGGTTACCCGACCCAGTTTTTGCCACGAGAATCGACGGCCACGCGACGCGCGTTTGATCACGGATGGAGTTGGTGTTTGGGTGAAAAGAACGGTTTAGGTTTATATAGGAATGTTTAGGATAGTGCAGGAGGTGAGTGCAAAGGGAGAAGGAGACACAAGCTTTGCACTGCTTGTAGATGTGTAGAAGCACTGTTGACATTCCTCCGCAAGGAACCTCGCAGAAGCTCCTTGATGGAGGCGTGCGTGAGAGCCCTATCCATTGATTTATATAGCATGATTTGACTTGTAGAAGTTGCATGGAGTTTCTCTGGAATTCGCACAGCTCATCATAGACCACAATATTTTCTCGAACTTTCTGGACAGCGAAAACAGGGTCCGAGCTGCGCAAAGATGCCTTGACGACCTCTTGGCACTTCACAGTTGTTTGACTTGAGTGCTATGCCTCAACAGACTTCAACAGTTATTTTGTTTGTCCAGACAGATGGCAGGCTGTTGGTCAATACTTTTTAGTACGTGGTGTTACAGATTAACTTCTCTTTCCAAATCCCTAAAAACAAGTATACCTAAAACATCCTAAAACCCAATCTCAATGCACTACAGTTGCTTAACACATGAAACGACACAGAATGACCTGATCACTGATCTCAGCATCTGCACTTTCGACGTCATGGAGACCACCTTGCTGGCCAGCGGAGGTGCAGATCCACCTGATGCTTCCACCTGGGAGCGGAGTGCTGTGATCTACGTGGCCTTGATGCTTCTGGTGCTGATCTCCTTGCACGTCAGATGGGAATGTCGTAAGCAGATGAAATGGGAACAGATTTCTTGGGAGCATGTGGCAGAAGGAAGGGACAGGAGCAGAGTTCGAGCCCTAAGCGTCTTTCGGCTTTGCTGCTGTCTGGTGGTCTTGGCCAACGACGGCATCCTGATCTTCTTCACGCGAGAGATGCCTTTGCTGGGTGGACCCCCCGGCGTTCTTGAAGTTTTTGACACCCTTTTTGATGATCTCTTGCGATACACCATCGAAGCGTCGACCTCGCCAAAAGAAACGGTGTGCATGCATTACATGCTCTAAGCCTCTAAGCAACCTTAAACTAGGGTTGTCAGGAGTGGAATCTTGAGTTGTTGTCAAATTTAGAGCATGTTTGGCCAAGGTGGATGGAAGATTTTCGGAACCTTCACTGTTTGGAGCTGGACACTAATCGGAATCTACATGGGATTGGCAGGTGTTGCTTCCTTATCTCATGCCTGCAAGATCAAGCCAAACAAGGTTGTTGTGGCTGTTCTATGCCGTTTTCTTTGGCTCCTCTTTGAGGCTCAGACTCGTCGCATGACATGTGAGATGCTCAAAACATGCGAAGACCACTTAGTGAAGAGGGGTAGGTTTGTGCACAAAACCCAGCAAAACGATAAGGTTGACAGCAAAACCGATAACCCCAGCGCTGTACATGATCATCATGATCATAAGTATGCGGCGAACTCAAAACACTGTAAACCATAAGGTCCAATTCAAAACCGATGATGTCAATTTTTTAGTTGCAGAAGAATAAGGAGTTTTGATCGTCCCTCATGTCTTCACATTGGGTCTCCCGGATTGAAAACTACACACAACCTTTTGTTACTAGTAGCTTCTTGTTACTAGTAGTAATGGCCTCCAACCTAAATAGCGATGGCCTCCACCCAGTAGTAGCTTCTTGTTACTGGGAGCTGATTTCTCAACGTTCTCAATCAATGGGACCAGAGATGACTCGATGTCACTCTCCAGGATTTCATATCGACCAACTTGTAAGAGAGAGAGAGAGAGTATTCTCCAAATGCGGTGAATGCACCGTCACGTTGCCCTGGAAGGTGATGTTGCCTGTGTCCTTCTTGATCTTTGTTGTTGTTTGGCTGGTCTTGCTCCCAGCTGCGTACCAAACCTCTGGCACAGACCTGGGCTTGCTGTCACTACCAGCGCTTGCTGCCCACAATCTGAATGTGGTCTTCATGCTGATTGAAGCGCGCTTGAACCGGCTTTGCATGACATCCTTTCATTTGATTTTCATCTTCTATTATGGAGCTCTTTATGTGATTTTCTCATGGATTTTGTTCGGCATCAATCACAATTTCTTTTACTTCTTCATTGACTGGCGCTATCCTGTGGTCTTGATCGGCTACACTGGCATTCTCTCAATGCTCGCAGGCTTTTTCTTCATATGTCGTTGGATGGTGAATCGTATCTCGGCTATCAAATGGGTAAGACTTGTGAGAGGATGCAATTCCTCAAGCTATGGTGAATAGCAAAGCACACCCTTCTAATGTAAAAATCTAGAAGCCAAATCATTAGTGATGCGAGCGCTTCTTCAAGGAAGCTTTGAAGAAGCGTGAGCTATCCTGCGTCCAAAGTAGCTACTTGCAGCTACTAGCTACCTCTCCCTACTAGCTACTTACCTCTAGCTGCTTCCTACCTCGACTCGCGGCCTACCCCCCCTAGTGTTACTAAGAGTGATACACCTTACTAGCAGCGAAGGGTGGTAGAGCGGCTCTTGCTCGCGTGACGTTGCTTTCGTGTTCGCAACCGTTTGAAGGCGATCGATAAGGCCGTGCTGTTGGGGAAAGCTTGTGGAGGAGGTTTTAGATGGACGCGTGAAGTGGCAGATTCGTGTGACATAGCACAGAAACGTAACATGTTGATGTGTGGAGGATGATTTTGTTTTACATGAGATCCTCAGCCACTGAGATTTGCGTTTCAGGCTGTTGCCTCGAAGCTGAGTTTTCGCGACAAGTCTCAGCTAAAATAGCAGAATTGGTGGATGTGAGTGTGCTCAGAAAGTTTCGAAATCGTTCCAAACGTGTGGTGTGGTGCAAACTTTGCTGAAGACATGAAGAGTGATATGTTATGTTGAACTCTCGTGGCAGGCGCGGGGAATCGTGAGGCTGTGATGTTTGGTGAAGGTGAATCTCGTTGTGCCGCTGGGACTGGTGTGTTGGCGGCTGTGGCTTTGAGGGGCTGGGACTGCGAAGCTGCTTCATCAGAGTGTACCACAAGAGTGTCTCCTACAAGAGTGTGCCCCAAGAGTATCAATGGTTGGCGGCTTGTTTTCGAGCGCGTGTGTGCATCCGGGTTCGTGGGGCCCATCTTGGGCCACTCCCGCCTAGGTGCGAAGCCGGAGGGGCTGCAGAGCGACTCGAATTTGCACAGCCCCCGAAGCGTGCCCTTAGCAGCTCCCTTCCAACGAGCATAAGACTCGCAGGGACAGGAGAGTGTGGCTAAAAGGCTATGGGGAGTGGTCAAAGCTTGCCTGGATGTTCTGTCAAGTGGATTGCCACCACAGCTGGTCACTCAGTCACGTCAATTCTGAGAAACTAGGCCTCTGAGTTGGATGCCCTCCCAGCTGCATTTGAACACCACAACACATCGCAAGGTCAGAGTGTGACTGCAAGCGACGAGAGTTGCCAGAATCGGATGCCCAATAGGATTCTCCTTTTTGGCATTGCTTGGACAGGAGACCTGAATTTTTGGAATCAACGATTCTGAAGGGAAAACATGGGAAAACAAATCATCAACCCTTTTGTGATCCTTTGTGCCATGGCTGCGCAGAGCCTTTTGAGGAACACCCCTCAAGGTTCAGGGCTTCACAGTTTGACATCGCACAGGACTAGTCTAATGCAAACTAAGATCTCTCGCCATAACTTTTGTCGAAACTTTCTCATGGGTGCCTTGTCAGGGTTCCACTTGATCTCCACTGCACTGAGAGGAACAAGTCAAACCTGAACACAACTTGCACGATTTTTCCGGCCAGCAAGGGTGGCCGCATGACTTGTACCACACTTCCACCCTTCCATTATGTTTTGTTTTTTACTTTTCGCGAAAGCTAGCTTTTGCTAGTTTTTGCAGCAAGGGGTTGGTGAGGACAGCTCCCGGAGCAAACCTCCAACAACTCGGACTTCACGATTTATTTTGGGAAAGACGTTGGTGGCCCAGCCTTGCATTCGATTCCGCCTGGTCGAATTGGTCCCGAGCACTCCACTAACTTTTGCTCACCCCCGCTGGTCTCAATTCTGGGATTTTGTTTTGAGACATTGCTCGCAGGATGCAGCATTTGTATCACTTGGAGAAAGAAGTCTGGTTACGGGAAGGTGCCACTTCTGACCACGTGACATTTTCGCAAGGATGCAAAAGCTCTTTGAAACATACAGTTCGATAAGGTTATACTGTTATATTGCCATGTCGCGCGAGCTCAGCCGCTGGTTTCGATCGTTAGGGAAAGCACAGCAGTGTGGAGGCCAAACATGGAGATGTGGCTACCTCTCCTTTTGCCATTTCTATGGGTTTCTTGGTTTTCTGCATCTCTGCACGTTCGTGATTGTGGTTTGCGGACTGGGGGAGGCTATTCTGACCCTGCAGTCCAAAGAGGCCAAAGACTTTTCCTGGGAAGACTGCATACCGTTTTCAAGGCTTTCTTTGTCTTTCACCGGCTAAGTTGATTGGGCCCTTTAGCTTCTTCTCCACAAGAGTATCTAAAGACCTCTAAAGACCAATCTCCCTTGTCCTCGATCAGCCATGGAGAACGCTACCAGTTCACCTGAGTATCCGCCAGATGCTGGAACCTGGGAGTTGAGCGCCGTGATCTACGTGGCCGTGTGTTTGTTCGTGCTCTTCGTGATCCACGGCTCCATGGAACGACGCGGGCGAATGAAATGGTCAAAGCTTCGCTGGGAGCACGTGGCGGAAAGCTCACGTGGCTGCTCCACCAGCTGTATGGCCGTTTGGCGGTTCTTCTGCTGCGTGCTGGTGATCCTCAATAATGTGGTCATGGTCTTTGTCTCGGATTCAGCCAGCAAACTCGTAGCTGGATACATGGCTCAACACATCAACTTCGTTCTTTGTTGTTCTTGTGTTGCCTTTTGGGCAACGATGACACTTTTCATGACTGACAGATGAGGTGGCTTTATCGTTTTTGCCACATTCACTGTATGGAGCTGGACTTTGATTGGCGTTTATATGGGACTCGCTGGAGCTGTTTCCTTGGCATCGGCTTGCAAGTCTACACCCCGCCAGGGCTGCGCAAGTGTGTTGCCTTGCCGTATCATTTGGCTTCTTTTTGAGGCAAGGCCCTCCCTCCAGGTAGCACTTCTTAGTTCAACTGTCCCCCATGCATTCAACCGGCAGCTATAGCTCAGCTATAGCATCATCAATTGAAAAGTCTACACACCTTGGGCTCCACCGGATACCCAGTTGGCAATGCCTGTCCACCCTTCGCCTCTTCCAAGTCCGTTTGAATTCAGTCTGAGTGATTTGCCATTATTACGAGATCCTTAGTTGCTCTCTACAAGTTTGGCTTCCTTCAGACATTTGCATTTGACATGTGTGAAGTGACTCCAAACTGTTGATGTCATCCTTAGCCATGTTCCCTAGCCATGCAGGTCATGTTGCCTGTTTCGTTCTTGATCTTCTTGCTGGTGTGGTTGGTCTTGCTGCCAGCAGCTTATCATACTTCGGGTACTGCGATGGGCCTCTTCACGCCTCCAGCACTGGCAGCTCACAACCTGAATTTTGTCTTTATGTTCATTGAGGCACTTGTGAACCGACTCTGCATCACCACATATCATTTGATATTTATCTTCTACTATGGTGGCTTGTATGTGATTTTCTCCTGGATCTTCTTCGCCTTTCAGCATTTCTTCTTCTACTTCTTCATTGATTGGAGATATCCACTTGTCTTGATCGGTTACTCGGGCCTTCTTTGCATGCTCACCACCTTCTTCTTCATTGGCCGATCCATCGTGAACTGCGTGAAACCGCCCTTGTACACCTGGGACCTGGATGAAAGTGAGAGCGAGGAATCGGAGTTGGAGAGTGCCAGTTGCACCGAGTAAAGGGCGAACGAGATGAATTCGTGTGCGAACGTGCTTAGAAGACAACACGTGTCACAGGTGAGTGTTTGCCTGGCTTCGTCATGTGGTTACAGAGGTCAACTACAAAGGTTCTCCCACTTCCAGTTCTCAATGACTTACAGTAAAACTGCCCTGCTCGTTCTGCAGTAGACCTCTTGATTCGCAGGAAGAAGAGCGGGCAAAGAGGTATCAGGATGAAAAGTTTGCCAGGGATGAGGCAAGGTGGTGACGGGCCACGGGTTCTTGTGCAAACTGGTTGCACATCGACTTTCAGTCCTTTCTTTCAGTTTTCAGACCGTTTGCTTGATAAGCATCTCCCGGGAAACAGCACTTCTCCCCAAAATGGATGATCTTCAGTTCTGGGCAACAAGCAGTTCCGAAAGAGGTTTGTCTTACTTTCAGTTGGGGTTTGAGACGCAAACTCCTCGTTCTTTGGGGAAACAGGGAGGATTCAATCTCTAACAGCCCTTGTTTGCAGGCAGCCTTCCAAGAGAAGTGTGCCCGGCCTCTTTATTTCAGATCACCGCTTGGAACATGAATGAGCTTTCAGAACTTTTGTGCCAACCAGCACAGGCCCAAAAACCATAGCATGGGGGGATCGCATGGGAGGGAAATCATTGAGACTCGTTGCAGAACATGTCAATGTCGCTTTGATGGTAAGACTTCCTCCTATATTTTTTGGAGCTTTAGAAGTAAGCCATAGTGAGCCTAGCAGCCTAACAACCAATGAAGATGCTCTTCAATGCTCTTCTGCCCGCTTGGTGGATCAGCTGATGCGCATCAGCTTGCACCGCCATGTGGTTGTGGGCAGCTTCATTCCCTACAGGAGAGCCACCCAAGTAGTCATTTCTTGCAATCTGTTTCTTGCAATCTGAGATGAGTGTGTCTCTGGGAACTTCTTTGCGATGATACTTTGCGATTGGTAAAAACCTCAGAGATGCAGACGATAGAATGATCGGCCAATACACGTTGGGAGGGTCAGTTCCGGGGCCTGGCTGCTTTCCAGGCCCACAGCGGGTCAGTGGATGAAAATCGCACAGGAGGCGTTCGTTCAAGCTCGCCTCCAAGAAAGCGACCTCGCCGACTCCTCAGCGAGGCTTTGTAGATTGGCCTCGTTCACGGCAGTCTCCATTTTTCTGGAGCTCAACCCGAACCACAGCCAAATACATCCAAATTCAACCAAATACCCACAGATGCTAACTGCTAACAGTTACACTGTACGTCCCATTTTCAGAAATGCACAAGGCTGACATGGCAAGGAAAGAAGAATGTTCCTTTTGCGAGCCAGCAACTTTTGATATATCACAGTCTATATCTATATGGCACTGTGATTCAGGCTGTGCCTCTCCAGCTCACCCACAAGCTGCCACCGTGCAGGCCTATAATGTTTACCCCAAGGGTCAGGATGACAAAATCCTTTGCACCCTAGTCAAAGTTGTACTTGTACCCATGGAAAACAAATGGCTTGCATTTCCCGCGCGTTTTGTTTTTGCAGGTCACTTCAATTTGCTTTGACCCTGAGTATGACAAGTGGATGGGTGCCCTAGCAGCTGGAGGCCATTTAGCCATAGAAGCTTGGGATGTGGAGGACCGGACGCCATACGAATCAATCAGAATCAATGCGTCGATGGAGTTCGGCTCCAGGAGCTGGACACATGTGATATGGAGGTGGATTTGACAGAGAATCTCACTGAGATGCATTCTGAGCGGCGAAGATATGCGGCAGAAAGAAAGAACAGTGAGCAACTGGGGCAAGTCGAGTGGCTTACCAACACTTCCACCAGTCTTTCTGTTTAATGTACTGTAACTTTTTGGATTGTGAAATTTGTGGAGGCATCAAGACATGGCATAACTCAGAAGACAAACACACTCGTCCTTGCTTTTCTCCGTTGGACATGCCAGGAAGAAGCAGCTAAAACAGATGCAAATGGACGGAGCTCCTTGCCACATCCGAGTTGTCGCAGAGCCTTGCATTCCAGAAAAGTCAATACTTAGATAAGAAGAAAGGGTTGGGCGGGACACTAGATTGACTCCGGGAAAGGAGATGGGCTGGTCGGCCAACGAATGGGTTTCTGTGATATTTGACTGTGTGAGGTAGCCTTCCTCACCAGGCAGCTAGAAGAACAAGCAAATGTGAAGGCAGGGCAGTGCCATGGATGTGACATAAGGCAGCACGAGTACACCCACGCTCGTATGCTCGCATGCTCCCACGCTCGATCAGTCAGAAATTGTCCACAGTCCTGTGTTGTGGAATAGGTCTTGCAGGATTTTGGATCTGCATGTTCCGTCTTCTCAATTTACAGCCTTCGGCATGCCGCCGGCCATCAGCAAGCTCGAGCCCGCACGGCTGGTCGCCATGGCCCGGGCGTGTGTAGCTGTGTGTAGCTATTGTGTTTTTTTGTGCGCTGGTTATGCAAAGGTTAGCTAACAGAGTGTACGATATCAAAGTGCGTGAAAACAAGGGGTTTGTGCGCGACATGACTTGGAACATGCACGCTGGCTGGAGATGTTTGTGTCAATGAGGTGCGGCGTCAAAACGAAGTAGTGTAAGAGCCATGTAAGTGGAGAGCAACTGGCCAAAAAAACAAAAGCTGCGCTGGTGTAAAAGCGAGTGGGCAGCGAACAGTACTTGCAGAGAGCGCGTGTGTAACACAGAGCTTCTGCAAAAGTGACGTGTAAGCGAAAAAAAGTAGCGAGGAAATGGTTGCAAGGGGCTTGTGCGCGACATGACTTGGAAGGTGCACAGGGTGCGGTGTCAGAACGAAGTCGTGTAAGAGCCATTGCCTAGAATAACGCCGTGACAGTGTAAGCGATATAGAATAGAACCCAATTGGCAGCAAGTTCCCGCAAAACGCGTGGAAAAACCAAGGTTTTTATACGTTTTTCTACACGCGCGACTGTGCGCCAATGGGGCGGAGCCTCGTCTGTACACGCGGAATTTCCCTCGAATGTACACGCGGAGAATTGATCTCGTTTGCGCACGCGAAACTCGGATGTGCACGCGGCTTCCTCGGCTGTACACGCGGCTTACACGGCTAAAAAAATGAATGAATGAATGAATGAATGGAACCCGACCAGATTGTTTCACAATCTGAACCTTGTTGTCTCATTTTACGTCCATCGCTTTAGATGCGCTGTTTACCCCCCCCCCCCCCCCCCCCCCCATCCCAACCCAACATCATCAATCAAACGCAGAGCGTCTGTGTGACGTGAACCTGTGGAAGCAATGAGCAAAAAGAGATCATCATGTAGATGAATGTCCAGAGGGACGTTATTAACACATCATCAATCAAACGAAGCAATGAGCAAAAAGAGATCATCATGACTCAATTTGTGTGTGCGCAAATGAGGCGAATCATGTGTGCGCATTTGAGTTTGGGGTAACATGGGCTGTTTAAAGAGGAATGTAATCGATGTGTGCGCAGATGAGGCGAATCATGTGTGCGCATTTGAGTCAAATATATAAAAAAGTCTGTGTGCAGATTTGAGGGGAATTATGTGTGCGCAAATGAGGCGCCGTCCGCGCCAATGCATGGCCTGCTTGAAAAAGACGAAGAGGGGGAAGAGAAGAGAAGGAGAACGAGAACGAAAAGAGAAGAGAAGCGAAGACAAGAGACGAGACAAGGCGACAAGACAAGACAAGGCGAGAGGGGGGTAGGAGCGCCTCAACATTAAAAGACGAAAAATGAGTTGGGAAGATGATTTTCATTACTAAAAATACGAGCACCTCAACATTAAAAGAGGAAAATGAGTTGGGAAGATGATTTTCATTACTAAAAGTACGAGCACCTCAACATGAAAAGAAGAAAAATGAGTTGGGAAGATGATTTTCATTACTAAAAGTAGGAGCGCCTCAACATTAAAAGACGAAAAATGAGTTGGGAAGATGATTTTCTTTATTGAAAGTACGAGCACCTCAACATTAAAAGAAGAAAAATGAGTTGGGAAAATGATTTTCTTTTATTAAAAGTACGAGCACCTCAACATTAAAAGAAGTAAAATGAGTTGGGAAGATGATTTTCTTTATTGAAAGTACGAGCACCTCAACATTAAAAGAAGAAAAA